GATCTGCCTGTTCTGCTCCCCACTCTGTCTCTGGTGAATCGTCTCACCACACCCGCACCTCTGGCCTGTGCTCCAGTTCTGTGTGCATAAATAAGTCTTTAAAAAAAAAAATACAGATGTCAAGATTAGGAACGTGCTTCTGGTATAATCTTTTATAGTTTCCTTTATCAAGTTTTACCAGGATAAATTTAAATATACGTTTTCGAAAATGTAGAGAATTTAAAATTTTATTACAGAATGTTTTTGGCTTTGTTTGGCCTTTTCCTTTATTTTACGGAAAGTACCCAGATAATTTATGGTATAAAATGAGAAGACACTGTATAGTAACCACATTTATAGAGGGTTTCATCACAGAATTGGTCTGTTTAATTTCAGAAAATAGGTGTGAATGACAATGTTCATGGTTTTCAGAAAAGAAAGCCATTCAGCTAAAAATGGACGCTTCCAAGAATAGGGAAAAAAAGCATTACCATCTGTCAGACATTTATGCTTTTTTTGGTATAATAAATTGCTTCCCCCGCTAAATTTAAGTTGAAACTTTATAAGCATATACTTTACTACATAAATTTTCCCATATGTCAGTGGCTAAAACAAAACTATACTATTTGGAGAATTTTCTTTCCCATTAGCAGTGTTATTCCTGGTGTGATTTAATTTTCCCAGTAACATTCTGTATGTTACATTGTTCAGCTCACCAAGGATTGCCTGTATTCAGAGATGCACTCCTCAGGCTCTCTGGTCACGGAGTCCGTTATTTGTTTCAGGTTTTATACTTTGATATTATCACTATCAGCCACCTCCCACATGCCTACTGGTGTCTCAGACTGACATTCGACATCCTAGAATGGGCCACTGCATGTTTGTGTAACTGCGTCTCATGGTCTGGGTGTTTTTGACCTTCAAAATAGCATGTGAGGATGCACTGACTCGGGTCTTTCTTGTGTGTGAGGTGGAGGGCCTCTCCCAAACACATGGCAGATATTACACCTGCATACGCTGGTCAACATTAGCTTCCTCTTCAGTCGTGAGCGCAATTTAAAGTGTTGACTTTAATCTTTAAAGCCCCTCATTGTGGAGAAGCCAGTTATTCTAGACATCACATCTCTCCCTATGCATCATCATGGCAATTAAAATCAGCTGCAGTACTTGCCATGCCTAATCCCGAGTGAATTGTGGGGAGCCTGGGGGGAGATCACTTTCTAAAGAAGAACTTCCCTATGTACCTCCCATTCCTGCCAATGATAAATGTGATATTCGAAGTTTATAGTTCTGGCCTCGAATGTCTTGTCATATATCTGTAGGTCTGTGGAACCATAATTAAGTGCTGTTGACTTAATTTTTATGTTATTTGTGGCCAAGAGTATAGAATACCAAATCTATGATTTAACGAGTCAGAAAAATAGCAGTTGTAGATGTTAAAATAGAAAAAGCGAAAATGCATCTGTT